TATTACATAAGTAATACTACTATGCCTGTTATTTCTGATATCTGCTGGTCATTTTTTATGGGCAATGATTTACTGCTTGCATATAGTTGGTTTCAGTATATAGCAAGCTAATAACAAAGAATTTATTTTTTTAATGGTCTTAGCATACCAGTACTTTCAGTACTTTGATTGTAAAACTGTTCTGCTTGAAATATTTTTCTGCCTCATGGTTACAGAAAATTGCACATCTGATTTTTGTATCGTAAACATTCCAGTATTTTAGTCATTTGTTGTTAAATGAACATCATAAACAGGTATCGTGCATGTTTAAATCTTTATAAAAAGTTTGCAACACAAAATTTAAAATGAAAATTCAAGATTTATGATTGCCAAGGTTTTCTCTCACCATAGTGTTAACACAGCTGTTGTAGCCAAGCATAACTTCTTTTTTATTGTGGAATTGTAAACAAACTTAAATTTTTATTATGAATTCAGTCTTGTTAAGTACACATATGATTGCTTCCTACATATTGTAACACATCAGTGGGATGGCATAGTGTAAAGACTGGACATTACAACCTTACAAACCTGATACATAGGTATTAGTAAAAGTTGAAAACAACCTGCTGTTAAACAAATACTGGCCATTCTAGAAGAAAGAGAATTAGAAAATCAGAGAGATTGTAAGGAAGAAAACTAGTTGTATACTAGAAGCAAGTAAAATAGTTATTATTAGAAACTATAATGTAGAGTTAAGAGAGACATTTAGAGAATTTATGTTAAAAACTAATAACCCTGGCCCCTGAGTTGGCCTGTTGGGCTTGTTGCAGGAGAAATAGGGTACGGAGGTAGGAGAAATATATTTGTATTCTGTGTAGGTAAGGCTTGCTTCTAAAGGATAGCTGAGGTTAGTTATATAAAACAGAATTTAAAACTTTTAAAACCTGAATGCTTATTTGTATCATATATATGCATCACAAGTGACCCTGAAAATGAATAGAAAATAAAATTTAAAGCGTCTCTTTAATTCAAAGAAAAAATATCAAATAACATGGCTGTAATATATATGTGAATAGAATTGCTGAAAAATTTAACCATGTTATGTCTGTCTGGTACCATAACACTGCTTCAAATGCAAAATAAATCAAGCACACATTTTTGTGTCCAATAACAAGCAATGATCATCACAAAATATTAAAAAAAGCAGCACACATAAAAGTTCAATAGCTATAGTTTAGATGTCACTGTCACAGGACAAACGCAATATTTTACACTTATGGAACAGTTATAAATTTTTATTTTACAGCTATGGCATAAATGTAAAATTCAGTCATTGTTTATCAGGCTGTTTGCTGAAGGTGTAGTCTCAGGCAAGTTCCACCCAAGTGATCAATATAGAAATATGTTGTTTTTTTCCAGTGAAGTTCACTTCATGTCTTTATGAAATGATTAAAAGTTTTTATAATATCTTCCATATACTGACGTTTCTAGTACATTGTCATTAGCTATCTGTTTGAAAATAATTATTTCAAGCTAGGAAAGCGAAAATAATACTGAATTTAAGATATTGGATTGTTAATGTATATTTGGAACCGGCTTATGCCAAAATGCTGGTTTATGTACACTATTTTTCCAGTAAAAAGAAACCAAAGGAAAGACTGAGGGTTATAGGTCAGAGCTGCAATTGATGTTTATATAAATCTAGATTGTATATTTGGTGTTGACCTGCATACAAACTAATCAAGACCCTGGTTGGTACCAGAGTTTTGTCAATACATTCACCGGTAGTAAGTGTATATAGGGAAACCTCAGTGTGGAGATTGGTACTGCAGTGATTGATCTTTAAACAAACTAATCTGAGTTGAATATGGTTGTGTTGTAGACAATAACTTAACCATGTAGATTTTACCCAAGTACACTCACCACCTACCCTGTATAAAATTGGATGCAAGCCAAGTTCCATATATGTTGTTAGTGTTAGCACCTGTTTAGTACTGAACATCAATAATCCATAAGGGTACAGTCTCCAGTGCTTATCGACATTGCATGGGATGGATGTGGCCAAACATACCCATTTTTAGCAGGACAGTGCATAAGTCTTGATTTTAAAATGGATTATAACCTTTTAAGATCACTTCACATATTAACTTTAAATTTAGTGCTATAGAGAATAATGAAAGGTTACCTAGCCCTGACCTCAGACTTGATTAAACAAAGCTAAAATATACATAGAAGAGAGGATGGCCTCCTCGCACTGATATAACTGTCAGTTATTAACCAAGCAATACTATACAGTATAATGAGGATACCTAGCCCTGAACTTCTACTTTTTGACAAGCTAGATTTCCATGGTAGAAGAGGGGATACCCAACCCTGACCTTAGACCTCTTTGTCCAGCTACATATCTTCAGTAGAAGAAGGGGTGCCAAACTTTGTTCAGCTGCATATCCTCAGTAAAAGAGGGGATGCCCAACCCTGACCTTAGACCTCTTTGTCCAGCTACATATCTTCAGTAGAAGAAGGGGTGCCAAACTTTGTTCAGCTGCATATCCTCAGTAAAAGAGGGGATGCCCAACCCTGACCTTAGACCTCTTTGTCCAGCTACATATCTTCAGTAGAAGAAGGGGTGCCAAACTTTGTCCAGCTACATATCCTCAGTAATTGAGGGGATGCTCAATCCTGACCTTTAACTTCTTTGACAAGCTAGATTTCCTTTGTAGAAGAGAGGATGCTCAACCCTGACCTTAGACCTCTTTGTTCAGCTATATTTCCTCAGTAAAGGATGCTCAACCCTGACCTTAGACCTCTTTGTTCAGCTATATTTCCTCAGTAAAGGATGCTCAACTCTGACCTGAATTTACTCTTTTAATCCAAATTAGTCTATACAGAGTAGATGGAGGGGATACTCAGCCCTGAACTTCAAACTCTTTTGACAAACTATATAGAGGAAGGGATACCTTACCTTGATCTTCTTCAACAGGATAAGTGATACTCTACAGGATACCCAGCCCTGAACTTAAACCACTTTACTCCACCAGGAGTGTAGAGTGGATTCCCTGTCTCACATAAACCTCTTTACTAAGCTAGACTATACAGTGTGGAGGGAATACCCAGCCTTGAACTCAGACAACTTTACCAAGCTAGAAGTATAGACAGGGTTCCTTGTCCTGACCTAAACCACTTAACTAAGCTAGACTGTACAGTTTGAAGGGGATACAAAGCCCTGACCTCAAAATACTTTACCAAGCTAGAAGTGTAGATGGGATTTCCTGTCTAACCTAAATTCTTTACTAAACTAGACTGCACAGTTTGAAGGGGATACTCAGCCCTGAAAAGTTATTTCCATAGGTCAAAAATAAAGTATATATAGGATACGCTGACCTGATGTCAAGCATCTGTACTGAGCTGGACTAAACAGGACAAACCTATCCCTTTTTAAAAGAGATTAAGAGGTGTGCTAATTGCTATCTAGATAAATCTTAGACTGCATGTCTAGAAATTCCTAGTTCTATTGACTGAACTTGTCGATCGTTCATCTTCTTCCTTTAATCTCCTTTACACAGGGCAACACATGTCACATTTTCACGTTAGCTTTTTCCATTTGGTCGATAGAGTAAAAGTAAAAGACTTCAAATATGCATAGGAGTGAGAAAGATGATCTCTTATATGCATATTCCAGGTACCTGCTGATTTATTATGATAAAGGAACTTGTTTGGCATTCATCCAGACTCCATAAGAAATGTAACAGATATACTAGAAATGGGCGAATGTTAAAAATCAACATAAAATGATGTATTGCCCCATCCCTTTGACTTAAGATAGGATTGTCAATTTACGGGGCAATCTGGCCTTGGTATATACATTCTGTGAAAGTTGTTGTTGTAGATTCAGAATGTTTTCCGTATGTCTGTTTCTGATGATATTTAAATGTTCCAGTGTTATCACAATGTAATGTGTAATACAAGGTATTTACGCATAAAGATGCATGTTGTGATAATTTTTCCAGTGTTGCTGTAAATGCTAGAGCAGGTAGCATTTCATTCTTCCCTCTTAATAATAGTAATATTAAAAAAACACAAATTATGCACAATTTCAGTTTTCCTGTCATTCCCCTTTATAGCCAAGGGAGTCTACACATAACTTTTCGACTCAAATCAATAAGATGGCATGGTCTTATTATAGGACAACGATATGGCTTTTGTTCTCATTTCTACTGAATCTGCAATAAATGTGGGTGGGCTTATTACCAGGCATTAGCTTACTGCACTAAATGGGTATGAGCTTATGACCAGGAATTGGCATATTGCCATATACATATGGTACATTGCACTTATGTTTATAATATTAACTTTCATTAGGAAGTAGTTGTTTCAGAATAATTTTTTGCCATAATTGGTATACATCCCCAAATTTTGAACCGTTTGGGATAGCCAATTGTTATTTATTGTCTGGTGTAGTTCACTCTCAACACTTCAATTCAGAATAAATGATAACTGATGATGATATAATATTGTGTCAGTCTTACATAGACAAAACTACAAACAATCCTCTTACATATAGGAAAAAACAATGATTGGATGTCGTGTAAATCTCCGCATGATGCCTTGGTGTTGTTTAACCAACACAATGAACTGATTTCCTTCAGCCATGAGGTTGATCCTAACATCCTGGGGAAACAGTTTTGACTGTTAAGTGATATTGAAGGCATGGAACAACTGTTTCTTTACCTGAATATTTTCAATTCTTCGTTATGGTTGCCAGAAGCAGCCATCCTGGCAAAAAGTGTCTAGTTACATTGGCAATCATGATCAGAAATGTTTCATCTGAATTTTTGAAAGTTTGGGCATGTTTAGATATTGGATGCCATGGTCAACAGAGCTAGTGATGTGTCAGTGGTTTTTACTGGTAACTGACTTGTTATGATTTTCTAGCAATTTTCTCTGGTGTTGTAACGATGTCTGTATGCTCTGCTCTTTTTGATATCATATGGAAGAGACTGATGTGTTTTGTTTCACTGTAGACATTTGATGGGCGTGAGTTGGTGCATTGCATGAAGAAATTGATCTCTATTGATGAGAGCTGGGTACCCCACTCCACAGAGGTGGCAAATGCTCTCTACTTGCGACCAACTTTTATTGGCACAGAGGTAAGTGTAATACTTAATACTCCTAATTTTTAGGTACCTTCCCTCACTTACTCCACTAAACTCTCTACCAATTACATCAACAGAACATGAGAGAGAAAACTTACCAAATAGAAAGATTTATAGAATTTTGTACAGTCAATAGTAACTATTCAAAAGCCAAAAGTATATTTTAAAGTCTTAATTATTCTTTTGTAATTTTTCAACAAAGAATAACATTATGCTATTTTCAATAGAATTCACCTCACTAATTTGTGTTTATAACTGCTTCCTCAAGTGTTAAGTATTTCAACTAACTTACAACTTTTAATGGCAGAATGCCATGTACGATGGTTAAGTGGCAGAGTGCCATGTATGTTGTTAAAGTGGCAGAGTGCCATGTACGTTTGTGAAGTGGCAGATTGCCATGTACAATGGTTAAGTGGCAGAGTGCCATGTATGTTTGTGAAGTGGCAGAATGCCATTTACGTTGGTTAAGTGGCAGAATGCCATGTACGTTTGTTAAGTGGCAAAGTGCCATGTACAATGGTTAAGTAGGTGAATGCAATTTACCTTGGTTAAGTAGCAGAATACTGTGTTCATTGGTTTAGTAAAGTCATTATTACTGGGTAGTAATGATTTACTTTCAACCTCTGTCTGCATCAATGATTGAAACAATTTGTCAATCTCATAATACAGTATTTTACCCCAGGTTCATTTTGAGTTGATAGAGTGAACCTTACCAAAATGGTGTCCATACCACATATCTTGACCTCTGACCTTTATCTCACCTTTCATCTAAAAGGTCAAATAATTGTCTCATTCTTTTTTATTAACCAGAAAGGGCCATGGAAATCCACAATCCTTGTTACATTGCTCATGTACTAATTTTCTTGATCTTAATTTTGCTAAGATGAAGGTTTGTCAGTTGTAAACATTTTCATGATTAGATAGTATCTCTCCTTTATACCTGTAGATTTGCTTCTTATGTGAGATTATTGATAATTTTTTTGTTCTTTGTGAATATCTCTATGAAAATAAGAAGGGAAGATGCGCAATGTCTATACAGGGATTGTTTGTTAAGACATGCATGAAACAACTTGTCAGTTAATGCTCATAATACTATCTGTTTTTGTCATGTCAGGTCTAAGGTTCAGGTACCAGCATGCTGTGATAGAACTGGTTATATTGTCTTGAAAAAAGTTTGCATTCGTAATGAAGTGTAATGTAGGTAAATAAAGATGAGATAAACCCCAGCAATAACAAATGTGGAACCTTTTATACTTTCAATTTGTAACTTTACCTGTATTACAATCATTAGATCAAAAATACTGTATGCTGAATGTCAAAGTGACAGGCAGGGGGGAATAACTCCCACCCACTTAAACTTTCTTTATGGTCTTTCTATATGTATTTTCTTCATATGGGATGCATTGGTACTTTTCACCTTATTACAATATGATATTTTACGTGTGAATGCCTTTTGTCTTTGAGAAATTGGAGGAAGATTAAACAGCTGTAACAATGTTGCTGTATCTGCCAGGACAACACCTATTCTTTGTGAGGTTACATTTAATGATAGCAAATAAAACATTATGTAACAGTTTTGAAGAGATCTGAATAAACTTGATTTTGCAGCCCTGCCTTGGAGTAGCCAGGTCCAAAAATGCCCTGCTTTATGTACTTACAGGCCCAGTAGGTCCATATTATCCGACAGGACTAAAGCCAGTTAGCCTCATGGCTGACCCTTCCTATGCCCGGGCCTGGCCTGGGGGTAGTGGCATGTTTAAGATGGGATCGTAAGTATACAATTAGAAATCTAAATTTAGAAAGTTTTTCCATTCTGGTTCTGATACAGTGTATCATTTAATCAATTCACAACCTATTGTAAACTTTACAGAGAAATTAAATAACAGCAATAATTGATTAGGAGAAATGAAAAATTAATCTTTTGATATCAAATACACTGGTTAAGGGTACAATGGTAACAACATATGATACCTTTGAATTACAAGTAAATATCCTCTTTTATGATGCAAATATGTTTTACATGGACAGAAAACCAAGATTTTATTTTAATATAAACATTATTTTCATTTTCAAACATTTCCAAATATCTAACAGTAACAATGTTTAGGGAAAGGTCCCTCTAACACCATCAACACAATCATCCCTATATGTAACACTATTAAGTAAACCATCCTCAAATGTAGCAGAATTAATCAAACAAAACCATAAGAAGAATCATTGATGAAAACATTCCCATATGCAGTACAATATTATCAAAAAGTCTTTCCCATATGTAGCAGCATCAATGAAAACATCCCCATGTTTAGCAGTATCAATTAAAACATCCCCATCTGTAACAGTATCAATGAAAACATCCCCATATGTAACAGTATCAATGAAAACATCCCCATATGTAGCAGTATCAATGAAAACATCCCCATGTGTAGCAATGTTAATGAAAACATCCCCATATGTAGCAGTATCAATGAAAACATCCCCATATGTAGCAATGTTAATGAAAACATCCCCATATGTAGCAGTATCAATGAAAACATCCCCATATGTAGCAATGTTAATGAAAACATCCCCATATGTAGCAATGTTAATGAAAACATCCCCATATGTAGCAGTATCAATGAAAACATCCCCATATGTAGCAATGTTAATGAAAACATCCCCATATGTAGCAATGTTAATGAAAACATCCCCATATGTAGCAATGTTAATGAAAACATCCCCATATGTAGCAATGTTAATGAAAACATCCCCATATGTAGCAGTATCAATGAAAACATCCCCATATGTAGCAATGTTAATGAAAACATCCCCATATGTAGCAATGTTAATGAAAACATCCCCATATGTAGCAGTGTCAATGAAAACATCCCCATATGTAGCAATGTTAATGAAAACATCCCCATATGTAGCAATGTTAATGAAAACATCCCCATATGTAGCAATGTTAATGAAAACATCCCCATATGTAGCAATGTTAATGAAAACATCCCCATATGTAGCAATGTTAATGAAAACATCCCCATATGTAGCAATGTTAATGAAAACATCCCCATATGTAGCAGTATCAATGAAAACATCCCCATATGTAGCAATGTTAATGAAAACATCCCCATATGTAGCAATGTTAATGAAAACATCCCCATGTAACAGTATCAATGAAAACATCCCCATATGTAGCAGTATCAATGAAAACATCCCCATATGTAACAGTATTAATGAAAACATCCCCATGTGTAGCAGTATCAATTAAAACATCCCCATCTGTAACAGTATCAATGAAAACATCCCCATATGTAGCAGTATCAATGAAAACATCCCCATATGTAGCAGTATCAATGAAAACATCCCCATATGTAGCAGTATCAATTAAAACATCCCCATCTGTAACAGTATCAATGAAAACATCCCCATATGTAACAGTATTAATGAAAACATCCCCATATGTAACAGTATTAATGAAAACATCCCCATATGTAACAGTATTAATGAAAACATCCCCATATGTAGCAGTATCAATGAAAACATCCCCATATGTAGCAATGTTAATGAAAACATCCCCATATGTAGCAATGTTAATGAAAACATCCCCATGTAACAGTATCAATGAAAACATCCCCATATGTAGCAGTATCAATGAAAACATCCCCATATGTAACAGTATTAATGAAAACATCCCCATATGTAACAGTATTAATGAAAACATCCCCATATGTAACAGTATTAATGAAAACATCCCCATATGTAACAGTATTAATGAAAACATCCCCATATGTAACAGTATTAATGAAAACATCCCCATATGTAGCAGTATCAATGAAAACATCCCCATATGTAGCAATGTTAATGAAAACATCCCCATATGTAGCAATGTTAATGAAAACATCCCCATGTAACAGTATCAATGAAAACATCCCCATATGTAGCAGTATCAATGAAAACATCCCCATATGTAACAGTATTAATGAAAACATCCCCATATGTAACAGTATTAATGAAAACATCCCCATATGTAACAGTATTAATGAAAACATCCCCATATGTAACAGTATTAATGAAAACATCCCCATATGTAGCAATGTTAATGAAAACATTGCCATATGTAACAGTATCAATGAAAACATCCCCATATGTAACAGTATCAATGAAAACATCCTCATATGTAACAGTATTAATGAAAACATCCCCATATGTAACAGTATTAATGAAAACATCCCCATATGTAGCAATGTTAATGAAAACATCCCCATATGTAGCAGTATCAATGAAAACATCCCCATATGTAGCAGTATCAATGAAAACATCCCCATATGTAACAGTATTAATGAAAACATCCCCATATGTAACAGTATTAATGAAAACATCCCCATATGTAACAGTATTAATGAAAACATCCCCATATGTAACAGTATTAATGAAAACATCCCCATATGTAACAGTATTAATGAAAACATCCCCATATGTAGCAGTATCAATGAAAACATCCCCATATGTAGCAATGTTAATGAAAACATCCCCATATGTAGCAATGTTAATGAAAACATCCCCATGTAACAGTATCAATGAAAACATCCCCATATGTAGCAGTATCAATGAAAACATCCCCATATGTAACAGTATTAATGAAAACATCCCCATATGTAACAGTATTAATGAAAACATCCCCATATGTAACAGTATTAATGAAAACATCCCCATATGTAACAGTATTAATGAAAACATCCCCATATGTAACAGTATCAATGAAAACATCCTCATATGTAACAGTATTAATGAAAACATCCCCATATGTAACAGTATTAATGAAAACATCCCCATATGTAGCAGTATCAATGAAAACATTCCTATATGTAGCAGTATAATTGAAAACATCCTCTAACATAACATTTTTAATGAAACTGTTCCTATGTACAGCACCAAAAAGTAGAATCATCCCGACAATATTAGGATTTGAAGGACCATCTCCATATGGGACATTATTGAAATCATCCCTATATCTTAAGTACAAGACTTCTGTGCCCATGTTGAAGATAGATCATTTTTGTATTCACTTTGATTTAGTTATTTAATGTGTTTACTAAAAGTGAACAATGATGTCAATATTCTTGTGAAATAAAATTGGATAAGGTTTTATTTGAATGTGACTTATAATGCCCGGTGATGATCCTTAATGTATAGATTTTAATTGGCAGTAACTATGCCCCAACGATTGCAGTACAGGACTTGGCTGAGGAGCGAGGCTGTCAGCAGGTCCTGTGGCTGTACGGAGATAACCACGAAATGACCGAAGTGGGAACTATGAATCTCTTCCTACATTGGATTAACAAACAAGGAGGTATATAATAGTATAAAAGGTCCTTTGTCTTTGTTCTGAGTCATTTACACTTTGTGGGAAATGGAAAAAGTAAATTCATTTTGAATATGAAATGTTTTTAGCTCACTACCCAAAGGGAAAGTGAACTTATATTGTTGTCTATACAGAGTCAACTTTTCCCTTTAAGCAACTTCTTCTCAGTAACCAAGATGCACAGGGTCTTGATAATGAGTCTGCAATATATGAAGGGCTGTGAATTTTTGTGAAGACTGATAAGGATAATTTTGAGGCAGCTGATGTACATTTTTGATGTTGTAGAGGAAGAACTTATCACGGCTCCATTGAATGGAATTATACTTCCTGGGATTACACGAAGCAGTCTTCTCCATTTAGCTAGAGAATGGGTAAGTCAGTATACCAAAATCTAAGCTAGAATAATTCAGCACATAATAGTTGATGAATGATATGATGTTGTATTAATGCTGTTCCTTTTGATATGATGTATGTTGTATCTTTTCCAGAACGAGTTCAAAGTGTCAGAAGGAATATACACTATGGAAGAAATGATCGAGGCCCTCAATGAGAACAGAGTAAGAGCATTATTTTATTGTTTGTGTAGAGCAATTAATCGTTATATTTCGTCAGTTATGACGGGTTACTGAGGTGATTCTGTTTGATGGGTTATTGAGGTGATTCTGTTTGATGGGTTATTGAGATGATTCTGTTTGACAGGTTATTGAGGTGATTCTGTTTGATGGGTTATTGAGGTGATTCTGTTTGATGGGTTATTGAGGTGATTCTGTTTGATGGGTTATTGAGATGAATCTGTTTGATAGTTTATTGAGGTGATTCTGTTTGATGGGTTATTGAGGTGATTCTGTTTGATGGGTTATTGAGGTGATTCTGTTTGATGGGTTATTGAGATGATTCTGTTTGATAGTTTATTGAGGTGATTCTGTTTGATGGGTTATTGAGGTGATTCTGTTTGATGGGTTATTGAGGTGATTCTGTTTGATGGGTTATTGAGATGATTCTGTTTGACAGGTTATTGAGGTGATTCTGTTTGATGGGTTATTGAGGTGATTCTGTTTGATGGGTTATTGAGATGATTCTGTTTGACAGGTTATTGAGGTGGTTCTGTTTGATGGGTTATTGAGGTGATTCTGTTTGATGGGTTATTGAGGTGATTCTGTTTGATGGGTTATTGAGATGAATCTGTTTGATAGTTTATTGAGGTGATTCTGTTTGATGGGTTATTGAGGTGATTCTGTTTGGTGGGTTATTGAGGTGATTCTGTTTGATGGGTTATTGAGATGATTCTGTTTGATAGTTTATTGAGGTGATTCTGTTTGATGGGTTATTGAGGTGATTCTGTTTGATGGGTTATTGAGGTGATTCTGTTTGATGGGTTATTGAGATGATTCTGTTTGACAGGTTATTGAGGTGATTCTGTTTGATGGGTTATTGAGGTGATTCTGTTTGATGGGTTATTGAGGTGATTCTGTTTGACAGGTTATTAAGGTGGTTCTGTTTGATAGTTTATTGAGGTGATTCTGTTTGATGGGTTATTGAGATGATTCCGTTTGAGGGGTTATTTTGACAGGTTATTGAGGTGATTCTGTTTGATGGGTAATTGAGGTGTTTCCGTTTGATGGGTTATTGAGGTTATTTTGTTTTACAGGTTATGACGGTGATTCAGTTTGATGGGTTATTGAGGTGATTCTGTTTGATGGGTTATTGAGGTGATTCTGTTTGATGGGTTATTGAGATGATTCAGTTTGACAGGTTATTGAGGTGGTTCTGTTTGATAGTTTATTGAGGTGATTCTGTTTGATGGGTTATTGAGATGATTCCGTTTGAGGGGTTATTTTGACAGGTTACTGAGGTGATTCTGTTTGATGGGTTATTGAGATGATTCAGTTTGACAGGTTATTGAGGTGGTTCTGTTTGATAGTTTATTGAGGTGATTCTGTTTCATGGGTTATTGAGATGATTCCATTTGAGGGGTTATTGAGATGATTCCGTTTGAGGGGTTATTGAGATGATTCCGTTTGAGGGGTTATTTTGATGGGTTATTGAGGTGATTCCGTTTGACGGGTTACTCAGGTGATTCTGTTTTATGAGTTATTGAAATGATTCTGTTTGATGGGTTATTGAGATGATTCCGTTTGAGGGGTTATTGAGATGATTCCGTTTGAGGGGTTATTTTGATGGGTTATTGAGGTGATTCCGTTTGACGGGTTACTCAGGTGATTCTGTTTTATGAGTTATTGAAATGATTCTGTTTGATGGATTATTGAGATGATTCTGTTTGATGGGTTATTTTGATTGGTTATTGAGGTGATTCTGTTTGATGGGTAATTGAGGTGTTTCCGTTTGATGGGTTATTGAGGTTATTTTGTTTTACAGGTTATTACGGTGATTCTGTTTGATGGGTTATTGAGGTGATTCTGTTTGATGGGTTATTGAGGTGATTCTGTTTGATGGGTTATTGAAATGATTCTGTTTGAGGGGTTATTTTGATTGGTTATTGAGGTGATTCTGTTTGATGGGTTATTGAGGTGATTCTGTTTGATGGGTTATTGAGGTGATTCTGTTTGAGGGGTTATTTTGATTGGTTATTGAGGTGATTCTGTTTGATGGGTTATTGAGGTTATTTTGTTTTACAGGTTATTACGGTGATTCTGTTTGATGGGTTATTGAGGTGATTCTGTTTGATGGGTTATTGAGGTGATTCTGTTTGATGGGTTATTGAGATGATTCAGTTTGACAGGTTATTGAGGTGATTCTGTTTGATAGTTTATTGAGGTGATTCTGCTTGATGGGTTATTGAGATGATTCCGTTTGAGGGGTTATTTTGACAGGTTATTGAAGTGGTTCTGTTTGATGGGTTATTGAGATGATTCTGTTTGATGGGTTATTTTGATTGGTAATTGAGGTGTTTCCGTTTGATGGGTTATTGAGGTTATTTTGTTTTACAGGTTATTACGGTGATTCTGTTTGACGGGTTATTGAGGTGATTCTGTTTGATGGGTTATTGAGATGAATCCATTTGATGGGTTATTTGATGAGTTATTGAGGTGATTCCGTTTGATGGGTTATTGAGGTGATTCTGTTTGACGGGTTATTGAGGTGAAGCTGTTTGATAGTTTATTGAGGTGATTCTGTTTGATGGGTTATTGAGATGATTCCATTTGAGGGGTTATTTTGACAGGTTACTGAGGTGATTCTGTTTGATGGGTTATTGAGATGATCCCGTTTGACAGGTTAATGAGGTGATTCTGTTTGATGTATTCAGTTATATACTCTGTGATCTTGTTAAATCACATAAAAAAGGGTGTCATACATATGAGCCTTGTTTTCACCCTTTCACCCTTGTCTTAGCTGGTCATGACCTGATATTTCACTCTATAGGTTGGCTATACTGATAAGGCTTTTTCTGTAGAAGGAGACTGGAATACTTGGGAAACCTACATGGTCAAACAGATTACCTCTATACCTTTTCACATCCATACTGGATATCAAACCCAAGGCATCTAGTTGAACGACATGTACCACTGTGCCACCCACCCACCTTACAGTTTATATTTGATGGGTTTTTAACTGACTAGGTTTGATAGGTTATTGTACTGACTGGGTTTGATAAGTTATTAAACTTACTGGGTTAGATAAGTTATTGTACCGACTGGGTTTGATAGGTTATTGTACTGACTGGGTTTGATAGGTTATTGTACTGCCTGGGTTTGATAGGTTATTTTTGGTTTGATAGGTTATTGTACTGACTGGGTTTGATAGGGTATTGTACTGCCTGGGTTTTATAGGTTATTGTACTGACTGGGTGTGAAAGGTTATTGTACTGCCTGGGTTTGATAGGTTATTTTTGGTTTGATAGGTTATTGTACTGCCTGGGTTTGATAGGTTATTGTACTGACCGGGTTTGATAGGTTATTGTATTGACCGGGTTTGATAGGTTATTTTACTGCCTGGGTTTGATAGGTTATTGTACTGACCGGGTTTGATAGGTTATTGTACTGACCGGGTTTGATAGGTTATTGTACTGACCGGGTTTGATAGGTTATTGTACTGATAGGTTATTGTACTGACCGGGTTTGATAGGTTATTTTACTGCCTGGGTTTGATAGGTTATTGTACTGACCGGGTTTGATAGGTTATTGTACTGACCGGGTTTGATAGGTTATTGTACTGACTGGGTTTGATAGGTTATTGTACTGACTGGGTTTGATAGGTTGTTGTACTGACCGGGTTTGATAGGTTGTTGTACTGACCGGGTTTGATAGGTTGTTGTACTGACCGGGTTTGATAGGTTGTTGTACTGACCGGGTTTGATAGGTTGTTGTACTGACCGGGTTTGATAGGTTATTGTACTGACCGGGTGTGATAGTTTAATGAACTGTTGATATTTGAATGCTTATTGAACTGTTCATTTAACAGGTTATTGAGCTGTTTGGAGCTGGAACAGCTGCTGTTGTGTCCCCTGTCGGAAGAATTTTATATAAAGATGACTGGATATATCTCCCTGTCGGGGATGAGAGCTCTCTTACACAGAGATTTTACAATGAATTGACAGATATACAGGTAAGTTTCCCTCATACTTACTGCTACTATATCCCTTCCCTAACAAACCTGGAAAAAATCAATTCATGTAATAATCTAACTTCCAATCACACTTACAATCACACTTACAATCACACTTACAATCACACTTCCAATCCACTGCAGTAAAATATTGAACTGTGTTAAAAACTGATAGTGTGCTTCAGTATAAAAACAGTTTACTTATCATTACATTTTCAGTATGGTAAAAAACCAAGTGACTGGATGGAGGAAATCAATGATGTAAAAAACAGCAGTGACTCACGGGTGAACATGTCGGGGTGAAAGCCATCAGGCTTGATTGTACAGCTGTTCCATCAAGAACAATCCAGCTGTGATCGACTGGTGAATCTCAGACATTTACTCCAATATTGTGTTACCTCATGTCTTTGTTTTTATCTGTGGAATCTCAATAGTGTAAGTTGGTGCTTTCGAGGAATAGTTTATAGGACTTTTGGTTAAAGATTCTCTCTATTTGGGGATCATCTTATGTCTTTGTATACAGGTAAATGGTTTAAAATTTGGAAACTTTAAGATATTAAATTACCTGGATATCATGGTTCAGTACAATAAGAACTTAAATTCTAATTTAAACTTAGAGGCAACTAGGGTGAAGTTAATGCTCAACCTAAAAAATAGTACCTAAAGACTAACATACATCTATTCTTTCTATGTGTACTTCTAAATCATGTTTGACAACGTTTCTGTGAAATTTTGTTTTCTCGCTTCATTTCTTTACAATAAAAACATTGAAAAATCAAAAAAAAAAAAAAAAAATAACAAAGTTTAACAAGTCCTTTCCTATTCTGTTCACTTGTATCCTGAAAATGGAGAAAAATACTGTAATCTTTGAAATCTTTTGGAACTTTGGACAGTAAACAACTACTATTGAATCAAAATTTGCTGATAATTCACAATTTAAGTTCATTTTATTAGTAATGAGTTATTTGGCAATAGAAGTGTGTATTCTAAGTCGTGAAAATTTTCTTTGTTTTGAAAGATATGCCAGTTAATTGAAATTTTCTCTTATTTGAAAGAGGTTCAATGTACATCCAGTGCTGATAAGTAAATTTCTTAATGGGCAAAAACTTTATATCAAGACAAATACCTACTGGTAGGTAGAGATGTTATGGTTTTACCGGAGGCCCTGCTAGATGTACCATTTTAGTATCATCTTGGCTAAAACACTAAAACACCAGTCTGTACTAATTTTGCTTAGTGTATTGGATAAAACCTGATTTATGATAATTTTGTAACCATTAACGGGTATTTTTTGTTCGTTAAGGTATCAAGTCTTTTTCAATAATCCTTATTTATGGCTTTTGTTTATGTTGATAGTACATTAACCTAATTGTTCAAATAGATTTCTGAGAATCTCGTCTAATAGACAGAATTGTTTTGTATTTTTAAGTTGTTACATTTTTGTTTTTTTTTTGTATCGAGTGATATTTATTTCAAGGGTTTACATTTCATGCGTAAATATACACATGACTTACTTTGTAGTGAAATTATTATAAACATAATGTGTGGCTATCTTAATAAAATGTATATGACATGATATATTTGCATATGATCTAAGTATTTTTCAATAAGTGCTTGAGATATAGGCAAATTGTCCTTTTGATATAAAACTGTTTTTTTTCCCAAAACAAAATTGTGCTAATAAGGCAATGGCTCTGTTCATCAAATGAAAATAACTTATCATAACCTTTGTCTTATATCCCTTTACGGAATTGTTATTTGTGTATTTTATGCATTGCTATAATGTATTGTAATATTCGTTGAAATGTTGAAATCAAAGGGAGGTAATCTGTTACTCATTCTGTGTATACAGGTGACAGGACTTCTCTAATAGAATCTTTCCCTAGCTGGAGGATAGAACAGAGAAATCTCTACCCGGGGAGGAGATTCATGACTGCCTAACCCCAGGCTTTGTCGAGAGACTGTTAGGAATCTCCTCTGAGGGTAGAGGTTTCTCAAGTCCACCCTCTAACTATGGAATGATCCTTTATCTATCCCTTATCTCCAACATGTTAGAACAAGACAAATATATATGCTGACAAATATGGAAACATCACCAGGCAAATAACAACTTTTGTTTTTGACTGATTTTTAAATGAATTAATATCAAATTATCTTAAACTATCGATACCAATCAGTCTCGTCTCAAATTTACAACTTCCCTTTCAGCACATATTTATGTCCAGTGCTGCTGGCTGTCTTTCTCCAGCAGGGTAGAGATATCTTACCCTCACTGGCATTGTGAATCTTTCTTTCCAGTGGGGTAGAAATGAATGATCTGTAGATATGTTATTTCTTGTTACTTATAACACATATATACAGACCATGGGGTTGGGATTGTTCCAAGTTCCTTTGATACAGGCCAGATTTAAAACAATAGTCATAACATTGTGTCTTAAGATCATTGTTTCTTGTTGGCGTGTTAATTAAATCAATTTTATGTATGTAATTAATGAAAACTCACTAAGGTGCATTTATTGTTTTTTTTAATCTGAAGGACTTCTATGTTTTGTTGGAGTATTAAGTTTGAAACATCCATTTGTGCTTTATATATCAAAGAATTCAGAAAATGTTCGATTAACTTGTGTTAAATGTTCATTCTAAGGGATGAAGAATGACTCGCCAAATGTTTTTTTGGAATACTGTAAGTTAAGAATAAGTAATTTTCAGAGATCATTTTTTTGAAACAGGATTTTTACTTCAAACCAAAGCTGTAGTCTTTGTTTTAGATCAACTTTTCTTCTGCATAGGAATATTATTGTTATCACTGTTTCTGTTATAGAATCACGGTCGATCGACATGTAAAATGATTTTCACGTTCTGAGTCAGTTGGATGTTTTTGTGTGGTATTCCAGTACAATCAGAGATGTTAGGAGAAATATGAATAAGGCTTATTGATTCCAGATAAAATAACATATCGTTTATATTTGTACATAGAATGGTATCAATTAATATTTGTTACTGTTAAAAATGAAAGCTATGCATATTGTTGTAGATACACATTGTTGTAGATACACTCTGTAGGGCTCAGTGTTGTAATACTGGTAATCGTGTTGGAGGAACTAGTCAATTGAATTCTTTATTTAATATAATTGGCCAGGACACTCAAACCAAGTGTAGATAATTTTCATCAACTCACCTTTCATCAAAGTAATGGTACATCGACAACAGCATAGAAATATCTGTCTAATGAAGTCCTATCTATTAGATCAACATCTGTTAAAGTCTGGTGTGTATGTATACAACCTGTCAGGTCTCAGTAATTTGGAATTCTCAATCAATCTGGCAATGGACTAATACAATATTTTTAATATTGTCACAGGAGATGAGCTTTAGAGATGAAAAGTAAGAATACCTTGATTTTCATTTAGAAATATTTTGCTTAAGATGAAAATTAGTAATGTAAGGGGAAGTAATTCCATAAGTGGCCGATGTTTGTTGTCTCCGGATAAACAAGCTTAAAGCTGACGGCACATATAACCAAACATCTGCTGTGCAATGATAGAGTTGTGTACATCTCACTATTAAATGCTTTAAGAATCACAATTGTGACAGCTTACTTTGTCTGCAGTTTTGTATTGCAATATAAATTTTAATCCACCTAGTTGCTATGACATACAAATGGACTACCAGTATTGTTAAAATGGGTTTTATTGTTGTGTAAATAGTATAACTATCACTGGCCTTCATTGATATTTTAATGAGCTGTATTTTTAGTGACTGATCTTGTTTTGGACTTTTTATTGTTATTCCCAGCTTGGTAGAATCTGTTTACTCTTCATAAACAATGATGTTGATAAGTATGCTCATTGTATTTTCTCTTTCTTTTGTTGTTGATGTGTTGATTTTAAAAACTATGATTTGCGTATGTTTATACTTATCTAGAATAAGAATAATCAAAAACAAAATTAAGGAAGAAATTTATAGAATATTAACTTTCCAATCATGATCTCGTAAGTAGCTAATTCAGTTGTTAGATGATATTGGTCAAATTGCATGTTTATAGAATTAGAATACATTCCTGTATCTAGGTAAGATGTATTTTTTGTGAAGTTTTTGTGACAATTGTTTGTTCTCAGGTGTTTCACATAACTAAAAACTTGCCTAATTGATATTGAAAGGGAGAAAAAATCAAACATAAGGAATATCCACTTAAAGGAACTCCTAGAGTTTTATCAGGTTGTGGCGCCAGTGAATTGGGAAATATGACCTGACAATACACTGTTATTAGAGCAAGTCAATACTTCAAATAGGGCAAGAATATTATGCATGTATCATGATTTTTGTGTTTATTTTTTTTTTAATTTTTTGTTTTTCACTCCTGTAATATCAAATTTCATCCTAGACTTGTGTGATGATCTAGATTTTTCTGTTACTAGCTTGGATGACAACTTTCTGTTAAAGCATGGTATTGTTTTAGGATAAATTTACTTTCCTCCATAGAAAGTAGAATCTCTGTCTTGGTAGTTTTTATTGCATGAAAATTATTGTTAAGTACTTTGTTTAATGGTTTACCAGTGGTAAATTTCAAATTCAGCATTAGCAATGCAGCTCAACCTTTTATCAGTATTGTGCTATTGATGATGATGATGATGATGATGATGATGATGATGATGATGATGATGATGATGACGATGAAGATGAATAAAGAGGATAATTACTATTTTGTATGATGATGATGATGAGTATATTTGTAAAAACAATAATGTTACAAAAAAGTATTTGGCTATTGGGTAGATAGTGTAGCATTCTAACTGCTACTCAAGAAAGATTCATTGATACTGTAAAACCTGTTAATAAACAAAAGCACATATCACATCTATGTTCAGATTCCTCTCACATACCGTATAAAGATTCCTGTGCACTACCAAGCAGGTCAATAAGAGCCATTGATACAACATTTAAAAAAAATTTTATGATTGTTAATTGTTGTAAAATAAAGTATATATATTTGTTGGAAATTATTAAGAAAAAGTTTATTTTTTTTTGTCACTCATCAAATTTATACCAGTTGCAATTTATGCTATAGAGTAATATGAAAATACATCAGAATAAGGTTTTGATTTTTGGGGGATTTTTAGTAGATATGAAAACTTTATGATACATTGTATTTTCAACATTTTTATGGCAAGAGTTTATCAGTGGTATGAAGCAAAATAAATAAACCTGCAGGAAAGATTTTACAGAACCCTTGATATTGTAAAATTATTTTGTTGACTTGTGGGCAATAGGTGATAAAAAATTGAATCGGAAAAAGAGGAAGTGTTCAGTGAATCAATTTTGATTTGACTTAATAAAGGAAGGAGTTTTAATAGCAAGTTCAAGTAGAAAGATCAAACAGCGTAATTTGACTTTTACCTCCGCCTTTTGTGATTGTGTTTTTGAAACTTGAACAAGTGAACAGTAAGGGTTTTCTTTTTATTTCTACATCACCAGAAAAGTAAGCTATGGCACCATGTAGTTTGCCAACACCAGAATCATCCTCTCTTTTTGATTTGAGTATGCTTTGTTGAATTGCAATTTGAAAGTGTGCTCTAAAACAATATCATGCTACCAGCAGGGCTGTGAAATATACCTAATGAAGATAGACTAGTGTCTGTGTGTTCATATTACACTTCATAGCTCTATACAGTCTGTATATCATTTTCAGGCTTGGAAGTTTTTTTAATAAATAAAAGAAAAATGATACAAAAATCTGTTGTTTGCTTATTCATCATGGTAGAAAATCTGACTGGTAAAAGAAGAAGATACACACATACATGACACAGATTATCGCTTTGTCAACACTCTAATTGATTCTGACCAGTATTCCATTATACATGTGCAGGTACAAAAACATTATTTACATCAGGAAGTACACTTGCATTTTGTAGACACGTGATTACTGACGAGACAAGCGTTTCACTATTTAACACGGGTAGTTTGACATTTATATAACAAAAGCAAAGAGTACAATGTAAATACATCTGTATTTTAATCACATATTATTAATTAATTGCATCACAGATCAATTGATTCCAGAATATATCCAGTGTTAACCAAGACCCAATATACCATAAGCTTAAATCCATTCCAGTAATCCTTAGAAACAAGTCTCTCTTAATAGTCAAGTGTGTCATGTAGCATTTAATATTTATAGACATCTGGGCAGGTACATACGTAGTAAAATAAGTAATACAGTCAGTATGATTAGTTCAAACATAAAAAAGTATCATTCACTTTAAATAAATTATACAAAGCTGCATACTTTAAAATTTGTTACTTTATATAAATCTCTTTTAAACAATTCACTAGCAGGACAGTGTTGGTATCAGGATAGGATCAATTTTTGTTGTAGCTAGTGGATAGAGTGCTTATCCTGGATTTTTCTTTTGTTTCATGTCCTGAATAATAACATCCAAAATCATCAGCATATTAGAGAGGAACTACTACAGAGACAGCAGTTTTAAAAACCCAAGTAAATCTGTCAACATCATCTACCATCAAATTCAAATACATGGGAACTGAGAGTGGATGTGCAGACTTGTAAATCCCTCTTTGAGAAGTTCATCAAGTGAAGACTCTAATAATTTTCATGTCATATCTTTCAACATGACACCATCTGCGATATCATTCTCTATCAGGTGTCGCCTTCAGTTAACATCCTCAACAGAACAGACACAACATGGACATTCAGACTGTTGCCTAACAAGCGATATGACTGTATTCTGGACAAGTCTTCTGGAAAACCTGTGGAAAAGTAAAAGTGATTCTTGTTGATTTCAAAAATTTCTTTTCAAATTTTTAGTGTCATCATGTGATGTAAACAGCATAGATATTCCAGGTCTTCTTATGGCAAAAATATTTGACCCTCTGTGCTGGTAGTTCGCCATGTGTATATTGCATGTGACCAGAGGCAGAGTGCAATATACTAGTAACATGGTCAACTTCCAGTGCTGAGGAACCAGTATTTTTTATCATAATATGCAAAAACATAAAATATCTGTTTTATTACATAATTATGTAATGAAAACAAATCTACACAAACTCGCTACAACAGAGCTCGAGGTTTTCTGACAAAGTTTTGCCGACATATGGTTCGGAAATTTAAATTGAACACTTTCCAGTGTTTTTACTTTGATATCTTAAAGTATTTTGAATCTTCCAGGGTAAGAAAAAAACCTCTCCTGTCAATCGTGTAGTCTGACAGACATTTTGAAAATTTCATGCCTTATCCTTCCTGAAGTCACTATTACCAACACATCATGCAATTAAAATCTTAAATGCACCATTGCATGACTAGGTACCGAGAAATATATCATTCTCATATGGAAATGGTTTATTCCAATATATGTAGAGCAAAAACAGCACATTATGTTATAAAATCTTTCAATCTTATCCTAAATGCTTGTTTAGCACTTTCCAATACTAACATCAAACTTCCATTTCATCAACCCTGAAAATTTCAGCCGTGTAGTAGTTTTCAAATTCCAACCATAACTTACCATAGCTCTGTGGAAAGCAGAGAAGGTTGGCAATTTCTCGAGGCGTAAAGTAGCGTAGCTGTAGGGCCCTGATGATGGACATATCCTCTTCTCCCCATTCATCACGATTCTTTAACTCCATGGCACTGTCTTTGAATTCACTAGCTCTCTTTACCACCTGATACAAGTGTAAAAGGGAAATCGTAATTAACAAAAATTTCAATATATTCAGTGTCATACAGGTTTGTAGATTTCCCCAAAATGATATATTTAAACCTGCCAGTGAAATAAAGGAATGAATGAATTTGATAAAAACTTTAATTATTACTGCTGGGATACTGTTCTGACACAAAATGAAGCCATTACAGGGCTGGTTTTCTCAAATTTGGTTCATAAATACAGTCTTGTAAGCAATGTTTACCAGATAACAATATAAAATGGTAGAAAACAATGTAGAGCATTCCATTCAAAATGGTGTTGTCTTGTTGTCTTGTTGTCAGGCATAACAACAAACTATTTGACATCAAAGAACTAGCTATTGTTTCTTGATCATTTGTTAACACTCAATTTACTTTATCTTTGGATTGCAATCAGCTTTTTTTCATTTGCTTTTCCTTCGAAAATGGAATTAAAAGAAAATTTAATGGTGTCCTGTTAAAAATCAAAGTTTTGATCAGTAAACAATGTAATTAATACTAGGAGATACAAAATGTGTCAAAATGTTTTGAGCCACATATATTTTTCTTGTAAGGAGGTGAAATGCACCACACCTAATGATGATGTATAAATCCTTGTATTAGCTACTGGTTTGTTGCAGCATATTTTCTGGCTGTCATTGTTTACTCATAACACTGCTGTTGGAAAGACATACCCCAGTGAGTTGGTAAAATGGACAAAACTGAGTATAGAGTAGGTTAAAAATAGTATGACAAGATGGTTAACAGATTACAGATCAAAAATACGAAAGATGGTAATAGAGTTCTGCAGTCAATGCAGCTACACTTTGTTTTGAAATAATTAGTCATAGATGTTCTGAAATGTGGGAGAGATGGTTTAGAAGATAATCCCAATCAGGTTGGTCACCTACAGGCACTAACCCAAAATAGATTGACACTGTGCACAAAAAAGTGATGGAGGCTTTTCATATGGATCCATACATGGAGTAAATCAACATAAACTATATATGAAGATTTTGAGCGTCACCATCAGCGGCACCTTGCTAATTTGCTACAATGGCAACCTAGATCATTTTCATTTAAGGGATGTAAACTGTGATCACGCCTGGTTTTATCATTACGATGGGGAGAAATGGAATGGAAATATATAACACACCCCATCTACAAAGACAAGGAGGTTCAAAGTCACCAGGTACAACAAGAAGGTTATAGCCACCATTTATTTTACAGTAAAGAAGTATCTCGAATCACAATCTGCTTTATATAGCCACAACTGATGTCCTACACTAACCTACTGAAGGATGTATGCTAATCATCCAGGAGAAACACCTTGGAAAAATCTGTAGATAGATTCTACTTTACCAGGGATGGGATGGGAGATCTGTGAGAGTGTGGCCATGAAATCCGCCCGCACACTTTTCTGCAGACCTAATGCAGAATGCAATCTATTTCACAAAAACCACTTTCTCTGCTGGAGATTGGAGGATGATGATGAGCTATGTGCTTTAGAGGGCTGGTTACACAGGGGACCAAGTAGTTGAGTTCTATTGATTGGGTATCAATGAAAGGAAACTATGGTGAAAAGTATATATCTCAATATCTTGCTCTTCATGTGTGAGGTTCAACACTTTCTGATATGTTCTAAGTTATATATACAGAAATATGGTGTGTGAAATATCCTGAGTACACTATAAATTTTGTTAAAATTTTTGATTATGAAATACAGTGAATATAACACTGACCTGAACATCTGTGGTCATCTGTATGATAGATCCTGCTCCCTCCATAAAGTGACCATATCTGTTAACACAGTCATTTACTTCAAATACAGAATGTTTACAAAAAAAAAAAAATGCCTTACCTTTGTACATGATTATAATGCAATGAAACAAAGCAGCCAAGACCTTATCATTAATTCATTCATTTACCATGGCATACAAATAGATTCTTCACAAAACAAGACATCTTAATCAAAAGAAATGAAATGTTATGTCTTTAGCAACTAAACTTTGACATAACTGTAAGGTTAGCTATGTTACCTCATCACTGCATCGTTGTGTTTTGCATGTTCTTTTCTTATCCATATTTACCAATAAGTAAATCCAACGTTTAGCTCATTATCTAAGTCAAGGAATACAACAGGACAATGAAGAAGCATTGATTTGTAATTTTACTGAACAGCATCATAACTTGTAGACTGACTTGTTAACAGCTGTAGGCTTATCACTGGATAGTTTACCTACCGTTTCGTGAAGCAAATAGTTTTGGTGAGACAGGGGTGTACAATGTCCATCACTATAAACCGGCGCAGCTCCTTGTCTGTGAGTTTATATGCATCAAAATACTGATCTTCAAAATGTTCCAGAAAGTGTCCAAGCTTAACACAATCTTCAGAAAGTTTACGAACATCACTTTCTAACTGTCTCATGTTATGTCCACATTCAAGTAGTGCCTGATATTTATCACTTTCTTTAAATTTACTCTTTCCAGATAAAACTGAATGACAGTCAGACTTTAACACCTCTGGTGGGACAAATTGCCTTCCTTGATCTTCTCGTGAAATTGCTGAACACTTTAGTGAACATGTCTGTATGTTTTTACTGTTGATGCTGGTCTGTGTATCACTGGTAGCATAAATGTTAGTTGATAGTGAAGTTGCTTGATCAGACCCCTGAGTGTCAGTGATTTCTGTGGCAACAGATGATGATACAATGACTTGGTCATTCTGTGTGGTGTCCATTCCAACATCAGATGATGTGGCAGTTCCACAAGCCCCTGAACTATCGGCAGAACTTGTCATGCAGTGACTTCTCCACAATTTGTATGATAACCATCTTAATGCACAGTTTGGAATTGTATCGAGAATCTGAAATTAACAGCATTGAAAGCGTACTTTTTGTTGGTATCAGATTTATCAACTGGTATGTAAAAGAATGAGTGCATTACCAAAGAAATCAGATTAAAGCTAAATCAAGCCAAGTGTGGGGTGTAAGCATGGCGATAGAGTCACACATGAATAACAATATAAAAAAGATGACTTCTTTTTTATAAATCAACAATATTGGACTTGATCTTGGAATCTCACAACATTGTAAGTGCATTGGTTATAGTTACCTTTTCACTTGTATTAAAACAGAATTTCAGAGGTGCTTTTTTAGCGATGAGGTAGTAGCGGAGTCTTGAGTTAGGAATTCCGAACTGTAGGGGAGTCAGCAAACATTCCTTTAAAAAAAATAATAATAATAAAATCCTATTTGCTTTTTCTTCTAAAGATTTTGAAATTAAATATATCAAGCAGACAAAACAAAGCAGGTTTACTGATGTATATAGAATCAGTATTACATACATCTCTATATATAACTGTTCTTTATACAGAGGTTAAAGCAGGAACCTGTAGTACTTAAAATCATAAAGATAGGTTCTGTATCAATAATGATAATGACAATTCAATACATATGATAATATAAACACTTGGTACCTACAAATTTTAATTACAGTTTGATCAAGACACGTCCTGTGTATATATCATTAAGAGCTCAATGACAGATTCATATCAAGACATCTATTGAGGGAAAGGACCCAGACATAATGTCCAAATCATCAAAAATATCTCCTGTTAAATACATCCTCAGAAGTCCTTATTAAACATAGAGATGACCTATGGCAATTTATCTACATATTCCTTATAAGGAAGTTTACATTATTGCATCATTACAACACCAATATTTATACCAAATTTACCTGGAAATTAAACTTGCAGGTATGGAGTGTTTCCAGCAAACGGTCCCTGGTTTGTGAGGACTCAAATCCCTTTACATTTTCTACTAAGATATAGGATGGACAGTTGGTTAGTCTGAAATATCCAAGTGCAGTAATACTTGAAGGGTTTCCTCCCTCATTTTGGCACACCTGAACTAATCTTGGAAGAGTTCCCTCCCTTACTTTGACATCCACTATAAAGGCAGAGCTGATCATATTTTGTATGTTTTTACTACATTACAGCTATAACTACTGTCCTTACACCAATAAGTTCCATGTGTCAATAACAACCCTTTACCCATCCCAATCAAGTCTCTCAGAAAGATTTATAATAATTATCTTTCACTAAAACGTCACAAATACCAATTCTTTTTTCTTTCTTTTATAAACTTTTACATGACCTAGTTTTTCATGGCAAAAGCATATAATATTATCACAGAAGATTTAGAAAATTTATGTTTATGTTGTTGTTTTCAAGGTAAATTCACTTCACATTTTGTTCTACTTTAATCAATGATAATACATTAGTGGTCAGCAACTGTGTTATCTTACCTTGGCAGGACACCAAGGAGATGAAGAAAGGACTTGGTTCTTAGATCTTCTGTATCCAACTTTTTACCAACTCGTGTGAATGGCTGGCAGGGTGGACTCATTACTATAATATCAATCTTCCATTCATCCAACTGTTTCACCGTAAGTGTCTAAAATATCAAGCATACATATGCATCAATATACATTTTTGTAGTGAGAAACATACTTTGGTGTAAACATGACCAGCTATCACTGGGGTATGGTCAGTGATTGCACTGGTGTCCGGTTTTCATTACATCTGCTATGAACTTTCGTTATTCACTTGGTTCCTACAGCACAAATATATCTCACAAAAATTTCCAGTTCAATTTAACACAATTTTGGAGAAGATCTATTATTTATCTTACCCAGTGATTTTGACTCTCAATTGTTAATACTTAACTCGCACAAGTTCAAAAGTTAAAAATAAATTTATTTTTATTATTCAAAGTATTATAATTGTAGCAAAAAGAAGGCACTGTGTACAGGTTACGTATTTTGTGAAGAAATAACATGTATTTTGTGCAAGGTCAGTCAGTGTTGAGTAAATATTACCTCTATTCCACACTCTGAGAGTTTGGTAGCTGGGAATGCATGTCTGTATACTTTGTTTGCTGTGGTATTGATATCAATGGCACATATCACTTCAAATGGAAGGCAGCTTTCTGTCATGGAAAAAAAATATCATTTTAAGACTGGTAATGTTACAGGAATTTTCATTCTAAACCATGCTATATGCCATAGAGGTCATTACTTATTTCAATGCCTCTGCTAGGATTCGACCCAGGACTTCTAGCTTACTAGTCTGACGCTCAACTGATCGAACTTGTGAGAAGTTCTCGCCAGCCAAGCAATATTTTGTGGCTAGTATTTTGCAATGATTACATACTCCCCCTCCAGTGAAAGACTCATCCTTGAGTTTCCAGGGGTTACAATGATTGATGCTTGTAAAGTATTACAAAGTATTATAACCAAGTCCAAACGTAATACCAATGTAATAAAGGTCAATATTTAGTTCAATTTCTCAGCTAAGATTCAAACCAAGGACCTCTGGCTTACTAGTGTAACGCTCAACTGATTAACCTACAGAAAAGTTCTCTGTAGCCAAGCAGTATGTTAAGACAAGGGGATGTAGTGGACTGGGTTGATCACTGGCAACCATGTAGGAACCTACAGCTTAATTGGTAGTGTTCATCTAAGAGGTCCAGGTCCCAGGTTTAAACCCTGGCATGGATTTGTATTTTTCTGCTCCTACTACGTTTGGTGCCTGGTGTAACCAACCCTTGTTTCAAGTATAGAAGGTGAATGCTAGACGAGAGTTACCCGAACTGGTGTTGTAAATAGTATAGTTAATACTTTAGGGGCAAGGACTAAGAAAACCAAGGAAGGAATGAGTACTGGGCGGGGTCAATAGTTGGGAACCAAGGTGCTCTGTTGGTAGTGAGTGTTGTAAAAAAAATGAATGGTATTGTGTTACACTGTCCAAGAGTTCAGAAGGTTCCAGTTTTGAACCCCAGTCTGGCTCTGCAATTTTTCCACTCCTACTATACTTTTGGTTTGTAGAAACAAATTTGTAGCCAAACAGGAAAGAGTAATGAAAAACACACTGCCTTCCGCTGGGATTCGAACTAGTGACCCTTCAGTCTCTAGCGAAACAACATTAGTAAGGTGACCTGTACTTTTTTCTACACTATAATATTTGGTACATACGGTTATGGATAGCTACATTAAATTGTTGAGGCAGTGAACTGTTTTGCTGTTTTACAGCCGGAAAAAGACCTCGCCAAAGTGAGTGTCATTCTCCACTTTATTTTCCCCAAGGTGTGATTGGCCATAGGAATCGGACAGTTATTATACTACAAAAATAGCAAGATATTACATTCAGTACATCCGATTCCAATGTAATTAAAATACCACTCCAATACTTTCCGTTCACTAATTAGAGTGATAAATTGAGATTTGTTTTTTAATCAGATTGGTCCGATTCCTGTAGAATGGCAGACGGAAAGGCTAGCGCTGGGATCAAGAAAAACACTAAACATACGTTTCATACATATCAAAATAACCTTTTAAAGCACAATGCATCCCACCGATGCCACTGTAAAGTTCTAAAACTCGTAATGTTTTCATTGTGATTGTCCGGATCCAAAGTGAGTTGTCGTTTTTGCCTTTTCGAAAAGCATTTCCGAGACCAAGACTGCAACACGTGCTTTGGGGCAACAGGATATGTTCATAACAGCTGATAGAAATGAATTATATAACTCATGTCGTACGAAATATATTGATTTGTTTCAAAATCTCAAATTAACAAATGATTGTCCCACAAAGGTCGTAAACCATAAAATATCCGAAATATAGTATTATATAGTTAGAGCATCCAATGTTTAGCAAGTTCCCAAGTGGTCTAGTGGTTAGGATTCCGCGCTCTCACCGCGGCGGCCGGGGTTCGATTCCCCGCTTGGGAAAATATTTTTGTTTTTATTTTCAATTAAAGCACATTGCATAAAGTCAACCAAATCTTTATTTCTTCGACGCACCCAGTTCTTCGTAATCATAAATATTAATGTCAAATATTTTCCATTCCATTATTATCGCCTTTGCCGGACTCGATAATGGCTTTTAATTGGGGGAGGGGCAGGGATGTACCTGTTACGATTTCTTATCAAGTAAAAGTATCTTTTGAAACTTAACCATTAAAAACAGAAATATTATGTGTAAATGTTGCTCATCCAATCTTCATTTACCAGTAGAAACAGATAGATGGACAGGAATTCCGCGGGAAGATGATTTGTAATTTATGTACTGAAGAAGTAGGTAACGAAATTCATTATCTATTTAAATGTAATAATCCTAGTGTTTGTCAATTACGACGGAAATTCATTCGGAACACTACTTTAAATCTTTACTGGAAAAATATCTAAATTACTGTAAGACCATCCTGTAATTTGGTTTCTTTTCTGTTATATATAAGCTGCAGTGTTACTACTCAAGTATATTTAATATCAGGTATTGGTTAGTCAATCTGTATTTTAGTTTCAATGTAACTGTATTGTTACTATCAAGTAAACAGAAAACATTTGTTACAAAAGTTGGCGAGATCAATTTGAAAACTGAGATTTCTACTGTACTGTTTGCTTTGAAGTTTGTTTGGATTTTTTGAGAAAAATGGTATATAAAAACAGCAACGCTAATTAACTATAATTGATACAGTATTTCAAATCAAAAATATTCTATAATACAAGCATCGTACAGAAATATCAATTTATACGTTATAATTAGCACGTTTCTAGACACTCATAATAATCAAATATCAAAAATAGATACAAAAATGCATTTTCGAGCGTTTGAAACAACCGCGGGAAAAGTAGAAATACGTTTCTGATTTTACCTGGTATAGCTGACTTTCAAAATTTGGTTGAAAAAAGATATAATTATGTTGGCAGGCTAGTATCGAATTTAGTACATTGTATATCATTATATCGGACTTGTAAAAAATCACGGACTTGTTGCTCGAAAATTAAGAACATGACCGCTATCTATAAATGTTATTCATAAATCTGAATGAGAAATAAAATGTCCAGCTTCAATGAATTCGAGATTTGCTCTGTACTATGTATTTATATTGGCTAGAAGCATTGCCACTGTAGAGAAAAAAAAGTCTTTTAAAAAGGCTGTGGTTAAGCAATTTCTAATCATTGTCTTTAGATATATTTGACGGTAGATGTTGTTGTCCAATTCGAATCCTTGATCAAGAGTTTTTAGTTGCTAATATTCCAATTTTAATTGCTATAGTAATAATCAATTGTTTTGTTCAAAGATATTTTCAAATTCTACATCTTCTCGCAGTTTTGTTTGTTTTACACCAAATCCAGAGGTGTCTTTATCACACGCCCCTGACCGAATCAGATGATTTCTTCGTAACTTGACTGAAGTAATGTGAAATCATATAGGACATAGTCAGACGATGAGAAATTTACCCATGAAAGAGATGGTTATAGTTCACACCTGTCCAGGTAAACCACAGGGGTTCTCAGTTGTGGTTTTACTGGCGCGTCCTTCGAAATAACTGACCACATGCATTCATATAATAAAATGTGATGTTTTTATAAGACATATTGTTGAGGTGAATTGTAACACTCTGGTTTTTATAATAATCATTGAAGGTGGTTATTTTTTGGTTATGATTTTTAACATGGATATTCATGATATCACGGGTTCAAATTCGAAATAAGTCCGACATGTTATGTACCGTACTATTACGGACTAGTAGATGTGTAACCTATATGTACAACAGATACCAATATAACCATGGCTGCACGGGTCTCCGAGTCTAAATCGGATTACTGAATCACTCATCCATGACCTGTGCGCTCACGACAAGACTAGTGATAAGGGGACGTAACCCATGGTATTCCGTAGAAATAAATATAGTTGCAAATTAATCAAATAGCTTAAAAATCTCACAATATTTCAGGTTTTTTTTGTTGTAAAAATATGCTACGTAATTTGTTATTTCAAACGTGAATACCTCTCGACAGTCTGGTTTTATTAGTTGCATTTGATTTTAAGTGAAATGTGTACCATGTATGCAAATTAGTGTATATCCACACAGACGTCTTTAAGGACCCTACATAAGAAATACTCAAAAAGGGTGGATGGTGGGGGTGTTCTAGACTCCGTTGCAACCGGAGCAAGGACGTTAAGCTCCAAACTGGAAAAGAGACAAATGGTGTGGTTGTCTCTGCTCCAAAAGGAAGATGTCACTATCTCCTTAAATGAAAAGTTAGATACGGCAGTCCCAAAAGGGGACTGAGGCACATATAAAGTGAAAGAAACGTTGACATTGAAAACTCTACACTTATTTAGTAAAGAATCAATAAAGTATCGGTAGCACGGCGGTAAGACCCTTGCTCACAGCTGCAAAGTTCTCGGATCGAATGCTCCTGCCGGGTTTTTTTCTTTTACTGAAGGCATGTCACATGGTATTTTTCAAACATGTACAGAACACTGGTAGACCATTGCTGCCGCTTTTGTCTGCTTAATCCATAACATCTAACATTTACAGGGATAATGATCGTGTCTCTAATGTCTTACATATAACTGATGTAAGGCTAACAGGCCTATAGTATCCGGCCTCACATTTGTCTCCCTTGTTATACATCGCACTCACCTGGGCTTTAAACTATGATCTGGGATACTTTATGTGACTAGGAACGGGTTGAAAATAACCGTAAGTAGTGGGGCTATTGAAATCGCAATTTCTTTGATATAGACTTATCTAGAAAAAATACCTGCCATTAATTTCTGATTGATTTTTTTATTTTGACTTGGTGTGTTTCCAGATTGCCTTTGCATTTTTCCTCGCCTTCGCTGATAGATCTTTTTTTAATTTCACATTTGAGTTAGGTCCCTATGATACCGTATTAGAATCACTGATGCATAACTAAACTGCGCACGCCGCTTGTACAACAGAATAAGAGACAAAAGCACGACACCTAGAACCCAGTATAAAGGTTTGGTTCAAAATCTGTGTGTGCGAATCTTCAGACATATCCGTCTTGATTTCCCACATTTTAAGCACAAACAGTTCACCGTTAAAATGCCACGACTGTCCGAAGTTGACAGGGGTCGCGCCATTGCACTTCTTATGCAAGGTACCCCGCAAAATCAGGTCGCTAATCAATTTGGAGTCCATCCATCGAATATTTGCCGTCTCATCCAAAGACTTCATGCCACCGGAAGGTTTGCAGACCGTCCCCGAAGCGGTCGCCCTCGTGTGACGAAGCGTCGGCAGGATAGGTCAATGCGACTTTCGCACCTACGCAATCGCTTTCTGACGGCCACGCAAACAGCACGGAACACAATTGGGCGTCATCTTGTTCCAGTTGATCCAAAGACAGTGCGTACTCGACTGCGTGCCTTCGGTCTAAGACCGCCGCAGCCATATGTTGGACCACAGCTTAATGCGCGGCGACGTGCCAGACGAATGCAATGGCTGAACGCACATTCCGCAAGACGCTTCCAAATGCAACGTTGGAGAAGGTCCTGTTCTCAGACGAGTCAAGGTTTTCGCTTTACCGGGCAGACAGCCGACGTCGTATCTATAGACGTACCCACGAGCGCTATGCAGATGCTTGCGTGATAAAGAATGGCCACTTTGGAAGAGGATCGGTCATGGTATGAGGTGGGATTGCGCATGGTGTCAAGACTCCTCTTGTCGTTATTCAGGGGAATCTCACGACCGTCCGCTATAGAGATCAAGTCCTAGCGCCGCATGTTGTTCCTCTAGTACAGCAGCGTCAACTGACGTTTCAGCAGGACAACGCCCGGCCGCATGTAGTGAGGGTTTGCCGTGGTTATCTCGCATCAAACAATGTCCCCACCCTAGACTGGTCCCCATACAGCCCTGACCTCTCCCCAATAGAACATTTATGGGACGAGTTGGACAGAAGGATAAAAAGTAGGCACTTCATTTTAAGTGGGGTACTCTTAAATCAACGTCAAATTTGAAAAGTTTACTTAACGTACACGAATTAAATTCTCGTAGATTACAGAGTGGTCAACTATCTCCCATTTACACCATAATTACATTCTAAAACCGTTTTCTATTTCCCGTAGTTGACCTAGAAATTCCTAATTGCGTTTTTCCTCTCAGTATAGTACATAGAAGTAATTCATGACTGTATTATTCTGATATGATATTAAATTTCAGCCTATTGAACAGAGCTGAATGACTCCCACGTGGATACATTGTGTATAGTAGATGAATATCAGGGACGTCTCTGTTGTATACCTTATGATTAGTTTGGTCATGTGTAAAGGATTAGAGATGGAATCAGGGCGTAATACAGGACGATAGACATTGAAATATGCATCATTGCATCACGTTCGTTCGTTACAAAAATATCACAAATACAAATGCATGTAGATTTTCATATACTACTTCTCGATTCATATCACGTCAGTAAATGTATATAGCAAACTAGTTCTGTTATTAGGTGTGGGTGTAGGAATTGCGGTTAGAGGGACACCCCCAAACACCCTCACACATGTTCTCGAGCTACTAGTTAAACAAATAATAACTGATTAACAGATATGCCTTGGGCAGAGGATTACAATCCCCAGAAACATTAAACTAAAATACAAGGTAT